CGATTATCATAATCGCGCGTCATAACTCTGCGGGCTTGTCTACCTCGGCGGGGACCGATTGGGCCATCGAGGGCCCCCCCGAGCAGGACGACGGGCGGAGGGCGGAAAGGGCGGGCGAGCGGGAGGGCGGCGAGGGGCACCCTCTAGAAGGGGACTACCGGCTCCGCTCCGCTCCGCCGCGGTGGCGGCTGTCGCGGGGGACCGGGCAAGGGGGCGGGAGAAGTCGAACGATAAAAAGATTTCGACGAGAGGAGCCTCTCTGCCCACCGCTTAAAGAATCTCATCGAACAACCCACAAATTTATATCCAATTTGTATATTACCGGTCATTACTTAAACCCATCAGCTGTGCGTATCGCGCGCGTCTATTCCTTCTATTCCGCAGTCCGGGTGACACGGTCCGTCATCTTCGGATCGTCTCTCGAGGGTTGATGATGTCGGCTCGGTTCCACCTTTCTCCCTCTTTACCGCGCGCGAGCGAGCGATCGTTTCCCCGAATCGATTCGCCGGACGGGAAAGGGGTGAGGCGTGAAAGCGATACGACCGGAGGGTGGAAGGGGCGAAGCGCGCGAACCCGCTCGCTCCGGGTGATTCGTGTTTTTCGGGGATCGCCGGCGAACGATCCGATGGCGGTGCTAACGATAGATTTACGGACGTTCGTTTATTCTGCGACGATTAATCTGCTGCCCCTCGAGAGCTGCGCTTCGTTCGGAGCGAGAATTATAGCTTTCCGCAGCGTCCGACACTCTGTTGATAGAGGGACGGCGATCTAGGTTTTCCCTAGATGGTTCTAACTCAGTTTGTAATTCGTTAACCCTTTGAACTCTGGGCTCCAATATTGCATCAGTTATATCAAATATTCTAACGAATCAGAGAAACTACCCTAAGATTATTAGATTTTACACATCCAAATTTTGTACTCAGAAGGAAAGTAAACGATCGAAGGAATGTTATAGCATTTTTCATTTTCACTAGAGATACTATGGAAATTAGTTGCAGTTGCTGATCAATTACAAAACCATCTTGCTAACGGTTAAACCTCTGACACTCGTCTCAGTGTTTAAAGCACGGACCAAGTTGTCTTATCGACAAGTTCACTGGTTCCGAACGAACCTTGCTCGCAAAATTTAATTCATTCTTCGGTAAATTCCCAGCTTGGAAGCTGGAGGATTACAATAGACTTCTTTATCACTATTCCGTCGTCGATTGTCACAATTCAACGCAACTACTAAATAACTAAGGCAACTCTAATTAGAAATCTGATGAGAGGACACGTTTTCCCAGATTCGACTGCTTCGATACTTTCCCATTAACCAGTCAACTGTGTTTGACGAGTATACGTGTCATCGTAAAGCTTGACGTGATACTAATTCTTTCAGCGATGAATTCTTCAGTTTTTCACGTAAACATGTAATTCATCTTTGCTATTAAATATACTATATTCGTCCTGCGTTCGACGAGCACACGCTGCATTTTCAATTTTACTGCGAGAGCCAGAGGTTTTTCCAACAAAATTCCGCAGTTAACTGATTAACGAAACATCCCCGTTAACGAAGCGAACCATCGTTCAACAGTCCCAGTCGCACAGAGCCGAGCTTCCTCTCAGCAAGAATTACTCTCGCGGAGGGCGACCCTAACGAGCGCGACTTCCCCCGCGAGGGGTCAATTTACGCGGGAAGCGATCGTTTCTCGCCCCCCGAATGATCGATCAGCCACGGTCTCGCGCGACGCGTCCCGAGGAATTTCAGGTATCCGTCAGGGGACCTGGAGCTTCCATAATTATTCCCCGGGCGGCGTATAAATTAGTCCGGGGTAGCGGGCGAGCCTGATTTAGTCTTTAAGGAGGTCGTGACGCGTCGCGCTAGAATCACTTTTTATCCGTCGTCGTCTTCGTCGTCATCTTCGTCGTCAACTTCGTCGTCGTTGTCGTCGTCGTCGTCTTCGTCGTCGCTGGTTTAGTCGGTCGTCTTTCCCTTGAGCTTCTTTTTTTAACCGAAGTGCCAAACCCGACATAATTAAGTCCTTTGTCCGCGCTAATTCGCAACCAGTTTACACAGAGGCCAAGACCGGTCATCGTGGACCGGCGGAGGGGGCAGGGCAGGGTTGCCGGGAGGGGAGGGAGGGTTCGACCGGAAAAATATTCCACGGTAGACCACCGACTAACCCTTTCAATGCCGGCCATTGTGCGGATCGCGCCAGGTATACACCTATTTAGCCGTTTCAGCGAGGGTCCCGTCAGGCCTCTCGACGCAGGAACGCGATTCGTTTGTCCTTTGCTCCTTACGAACCTATTTCACCTGGTATTGAGTTTCGCCTCGGCGTTTTTTCACCTTACGTTTCTGCGCTTTTAGCTCGGCGGGCTCCGTGCGGGGGAATCCGCGTCGCGGACGCGTCAGCGTTGGAATGTCTCTTCAGGATTTGGCTACTGGAAGCTTGTTAGGGCTTCTCGATGGGGGTGGTTAGTGGTTGATGAGTTGTTAACCCCTCGTTCCATACTTTTAGTTTTAAAATCGTGCTGAGAAACGCAGTTTTTCTTAATTGTTCGTTTTGACTTGTTCGGGTCATGAACAGTTGTTTGGAAGATCGATTATATGTTATCTAGATTGTTAGCATGAATATTACTCGATCCCATTGAATTTGAATTGAATATTCTTCTGTTATCAATTATTATACTTTGGAGTGAAGATTGATATGGAATATCTAAATCTGTTTCTTAATAAACTATTCGTGACAAAGTAGTTGTATCGATCGTATTTGAGAAGTAAATCGTAAGGCAAGGGGTTCATTGAATTTTCGGTTGGCAATGCTCTTTTAGGAATTAGCAATCCTGTTTTATATGAATATTTCATATATATACTGTTTAATTTTGCTACAGCAAATCGAGTAACTGTAAATCATCTCTAGGGCGCGGGTTAATTACACTAGCTTCAATTAGAAACCCCTCGTGTTTCAGGTGACAGGTTTATAATACAGATAGATGATCTTTCGTTGGATCATAAGCATTGCGACTGATTAAGTACTTCGATAGAATATATTATGCATCTCAGACAATTCTAATATTTCAACTTACCAGTGTCCATGGCGACCAAGGTGAGGGTGTATTCCTGCGCCAATTCTCTGTCCAAAGGTCTAAGCAGAAAGATGTCACCAGTGCTCGCGTTGATCTTGAACAGATCGGTGTCGCCTTCCTTCAGGAAGTACCTGACCTGGTCGTTGTAAGGTGGAGTGTCTGCGTCGTACGCTTTCACCTGAGAAACAGAGATGAGAGTCTTCAGTCTTCTTCGTTCAACTACCTATAGGTAGCGCGTAGCGAACTTTAACTTTAACTTTACTTTGAAAAACTACACCGCGCAACCGCGCTGTGTAAAATAATAAATACCAGATACTTCCGCGAATACAACACGTGTGTGTGGATTGTTTGATTCGACTTTCAACTGTAACAGTAGACAAACGACACCTCGACACTCCACTTTTTAACTGGAGCAGAACTTTAACTTTACTCCGAAAAACTACACCGTACAACCGTGCTGTGTAAAATAATAAATACCAGATACTTCCTCGAATACAACACGTGTGCGTGGATTGTTTCGTTACCTCCTCATAATCTACACTCCACCCCCATACGAATATTAGCCCACGCTGGAGAAAACTCTGAAACGTTTCGATACCTGTATGACGAATCCTCCGCCCGGCGGCACCATGTTCTCCATGACGTGGGCGAGGTACGGCGAGTCCAGGAACACGGGAGCGTTGTCGTTTATGTCGAGAACGGTGATGGTAACCTGAGCGGTGTCACCCCGGGGCGTTTCGCCGACCTCCGACGCGCAATCCTCGCCCCGGATCGTCAAGTAGTACCTAGACTTCCGCTCGAAATTCAGATTCTTCGCCACCCGGATCACGCCGCCGTCCTCCGACACGGTGAAGTCCCGGTTGTCGTCCCCCATAGCGATGCTGTACCTCACCCTGCCGTTCGCACCCTCGTCTCGATCCATCGCTGACACCTGATCATCAAAAATCGATTTTTCTTTGAGAACGATAGCTTTTTTAACACAGTTTCCATCATGGCGTCCTCGTGTATGAACATTATAAATAAATGCTTTTTGTTTTTTTTTTATTTATTTACAGTCGCATTAACACTTGGGTAATTACTAACAGAGGGAGGGTTGGGGGATTACCAATGATGGAGGGTTGATGGTCATTAATTATAATTAGGAGCGAAATAAATGCTTGGTGTATTTAACTTGGGTAAATTTGATTGTAAACGATGTTTTCATATTATCGCAACTATAGATTTCATTTGGCAACGGTGTTGACCTCTCTTATCAAATTGTGTTATCATAAAATAGAACTAGAGAACATTCAGGTGAACTGAGGAAAAATCATTCGTGACCGAGAGGGTTAACACTAGGATTAGTGAGAAATTATAGTAATTGAGGAGCTGCGATAGATTTTTAATATTAGGACTATCCAGGAATTCTAGCAACTATTTAGGATCTCTTACGAAAATTTATAGAACACTAAGTCTATTGAGAAATTATAGTAATTAAGGAGCTGCAATAGATTTTTAATATCAGAACTATCCAAGAACTCTAGCAACTTACTATTTATTACGATCTCTCAAAATTAGAAGAATCTGTTAAGATTCGAAGCTTCTTCATCATGCTCCCATAAATACACAACTGTTTCCAATTTCTCACGGAAGCATCCTCGTAATTGCAAGAATTGTGAAGTGGGAATTTTCGAACGAGTCATTTCGATTTCTACGATAGTTCTAATGTTACGTTCAAACGAAACGAGTCGTGTATAATGTTTCATTGCTGTTTTTTTCTTTTTTGGAGATCCCGTGCACAGTTTGAACGAGGTGAACTGTCAAGAGCTCGATCTCTCTTTTTTAGGGGAATGATACGCGTAATTCACACCTTACCGGGGCACTATATCGTTAAGACGTGTTAAGGTGGTCGAAGCAGATGGAGGGAAGGTTATGGCTGATTCACACCTACCGGTCACGGACAGCGATGTTAAACGTTACCCGATGTTCTTCAAACAGACTAATTTACACCGGCGGTCACGCCTTCCTCTCGATATTCGTTCGTCTCGCCGAAGATATTTGATTGCCCTTCAATATTTCCTCGAGTTTACTTGAAGAAGGAGGTGGACCGATAATGGAAACGCGTCGAACGCTTTCGAAAACTTCGACGATGTTTTAAACTGGTTTTAATCCCGCAACTGGTTATCGCGGCTTTAGTTCCAGCTTCCACCCTTGCGCGTTACGCGAAGATATTTCGATGTTACATATATCAAGATAAGAACAATTGCCTTTTAGTCTGGACTAGGTTCTGTAATAGATGGTCTCTCGTTCAAACGTACGAGAGATTTACTTGTATAGTGAATAAACCAGATCGAACGGTGTAATGAGGTGGTTTTATCTCGATCGAGTATGAAAATGCGACAGATTACTTGTATCGGAGAATGGAAATGTAGCATAAATTATGATAGATCAAAGTGTAGATCAGTAATGAAAGTATAATCGAAATCACATGTTTAATGAATCTCAGCATCAATCTTTTCTAGTTTAATAGTAAAAGTATAAAAATCTGCTTGCACGAAACACTAGAAATATATCAGACAGTTCAATAGTGTAATAATCTGATAAATCTACTTGCATTAAACGCCAGAAATATATCAGATAGTTCAATACTCTAATAATCTGATAAATCTACTTGCACCAGACACTAGAAATATATCAAATAGTTCGATTGTTTAATAATTTGATAATTCTACTTGTACCAAACACTAGAAATATATTAGATACTTCGATACTCTAATAATCTGATAAATCTACTTGCACCAAATACTAGAAATATACTTCGATAGTTTAATAATTTGATAAATTTACTTGCACCAAACGCTAGAAATATATCAAATACTTCGATACTCTAATAATCTGATAAATCTATTTCCATCAAGCACTAGAAATATATTAGATACTTCAATACTCTAACAATTTAATAAATCTACTTGCACCAAACGCTAGAAGTATATCAGACACTTCGATAGCCTAATAATCTGATAACAATGACATACCTGAAGAACACTGGCGCCGATGCTCGCGTTTTCGGCGACGGTGTCCGAGTACTGTCTCGGGTCGAAAACCGGCGAGTTGTCGTTCTCGTCGAGGACCGTGACAGTGACTGTCGTCGAGGACGATCTCGCCGGGTCGCCGCGGTCCTTCGCGGTTACGTCCAGGCTGTAGTTCGACCTTAATTCGCGATCCAGTGAACCAGATACGCGCAACAGTCCATCGACGGAGCCCACGGTGAACGGGAGCGTGGTGTCCTCCAGGGAGTACTCGACGTACCCGTTCCGCCCCTCGTCCCTGTCCACCGCTTTAATGGCCATCACCACCGTGTTGCTCGGCGCGTTCTCTATTATCGATATCCTGGTCGGCGATATGAATTCCGGCGACATGTCGTTCACGTCCAGCAGCACCACGGTCACCTGTCGATCGAACACGCCTCATGAATCCGCTCTTCCCTTCGGTTTTACAGTTGCCTCGAATATTTTCCGTCTCTTCGCAAACTACCAGGGAATACTCGTGTTTCGCACTAAACGTCAATTGTCCGCGAGTTTTCACGCGATACAGTTTTCAAGTCATTTCGAAGCTTCGGTCAACAGTGACCACTGTGGCAGTCGACGTGTTAAGTTGCGTATCTTAACGCATTGCGTATTGATATCGAGAAATCTTGTTTATAGAAGACTCTTAGCTATAGCTTTGCTAATTACAGCATTTAAAGAAATATTAAATTTCATTAGAACTAATTGTCTATTTAAAATATACCACATAACAATGCGATACCTGAGCTTTTTCTATAGATAGTGGTATAAGTGGATCTCATTGAAAATCCGTGCAATTGAATTTTCTGATAATTAGCCAGTACGCAATGCGTTAACACATTGAGCGCCGGCGACTTAATAATTCGCTTGTATCTGATCAATGAGTAGCCAAAAGAAATATTCAAAACATTATACAATGTGTTAATGCGGGATTTGTAGTCTATCGTTTAATTGCTAATCCTACGTTCACGTAACATTCTAGATATTATAACACAAATCCAAAGTAAAATGTACAAAATCCCTTATTCTCTTCCAAAAGTTAGAAACTTTGGTTCAATCGATGTTCAAAAACATATCAATATAATCACCGACACTCGTCTTTAATAGCTGAAATTTATCTGGCCCTCAATGTGTTAACCCTACGAAAGAAACTAGCGTATGGCGTACAAAAGCTTGTCCACCATAGATGCACCAAGGCACCCAGTTCTATTCGTAAAAAAAAAAGACGTGTAGACGGTTCGCCATTTTGCGTGTCAATACTTGGGGGCCCGAGAGATAGTCCACTCCCATTGACTAATTTATGAGCAAGGGGACCATCAGGACCTGGGTCACGTACGCCCTCGTCTAAAGCATTTTCCTTCTTCGAAAATCGTCGAGGAAAAGCAGTTAGTCGCCGTTCCTCGTTAGAGCCACACCGCGTAATAAATATATTTAACCTGACTACGGACTTAGTTTTTATTTCAGTAGCCCTACAGACGGAACATACTTGAACGGTGGAGGACAACGGCCGAGCAGGCGGCAGAGGGCTGTCGGTCGCGCTGACCACCAAATTGTATAGCGGCTTCCGTTCCCTGTCGAGCAGCTTCCTCGTGTAGAGGGTGCCGTTCGTCGCCACGCCGAAGTCTCCGTTCTCGTCACCGCCGGCGACGGCGTAAATCACCCGGCCGTTATCGCCGGAGTCGAGGTCCTGCGCGGCTACCGATAAGACGGCGGTGCCGATGGTCGCGTTTTCGACGAGGTCCGCGGCGTGGGGGCCCGCCTCGAAGATCGGCGCGTTGTCGTTCAGGTCGACCACGTTGCAGTAAACCGTCACGGTCGACGAGAGCGCCGGGATGCCGCCGTCCGTCGCCTGGACCACCAGAATGTAGTGCTGCACCTGCAACAGAGGCGGTAAGTGCGTCCTTATCTGAACCGTTTCCGAGTTCCCCGATTCGCCCCCTCGGCGCGGCCACTTCGGGAGGACCTTTCCCCTATCGTTCCCCCCCACAGCGCCGAACTCTGGGAATTCTGGCTTTACGCTGATAAGGATTTGCTCGGCTACCTGTGTTTCAGGGGGATTCGGGCCCACTTTCTGTCGGAGGATTTTACGGGCTGAATGAAGTGGAACCGGGAACTTGGTGTAGCACTCTTTTTAACCCTTTGCTCTCGGAAGTATTTCGTTAGAAATATTTCACGTTTTCTAACTAGACACAGACGATATTTTTTTCAATTAACTCAAAGAAAAATTGCAAGTGAATTGGGAAACAAAGCTTTTTAGCCCAATATTTCACACAATATTTCACGCATTATATACAGTTGAATATTGCCTATCAAATTTTATAGTTTTACTACATGAAATCAAGTGGTGACTGAGAGTCACCTTTCGAGTGCAAAGGGTTAACCCTTTGCGGACGAAGACATTTTAATGTACACAAAGCTTGCAACGTATGAAGCTAAATTATGCATCGAATGCTTAAACAGTAGTAAAAAAGGAAACTATACACTGATCACTTGCTATTCAAGTAATCAAATCATTCGTTTGCAACTTAGTATTCCAAATATGAAAATTTCATCTGATCGAAATGTTGACATTCGTCCGCAAAGGGTTATGTTCCGTGTCATGGAAGTTTTGGTTATATTTTACTTGTGGACTGCATTGATTTCTTTAATAAAATATTGCGAGATCGTTCGGTTTTTCTACTTTTAAGCAGGCAATAACGAAAATGAAAATAAATGGTTGAAGACAAATAAATAGAGTTAATATGATTTTATACAGAGATAGAGTGGCAGTTTTAGATAGTGCAGCGGAGAACCACCTTTACGAAAGCTGTATCAATTTATTAAGACTTCAATTGGTTTGTATCTTAATTTAGGTACTGAACCAGCTTCTGTCACCATTTCTCAATGAAGTATCTATATTTTAACAGTAATTCTAAAATAAAAATCTAGAAATCGGTAATTTCGACCCACCTAGTTCTAGTGTTGAATCTTAACGTTTCATTCTACGACCAAAAGGAATCTTCGACACATTTATAGCTAAATTCAACGAAACATTAACGGACATTGGAATGTCCAAACTCTAAAGGATAAACGAAGCTTGCCATTGTCTATTTGATCGCCACGCAATAGTACCGCAGACACGAAGGGGAAGCTATCGATTCCCCCGACGCTTGTTTAATCGTCGGGAAGATCGAAAATTAGGTCGCCGCGTAGGGTTTCCGACGCGAAAAAAAACTGAGCTTCCGCTGTAAGTATCGTGTTCGTTCCTCTTTTCCCTGGGACTATCGGTTCGTGGAAGCGGGCGTGCCCTTTCCACGTTTCCGACGAGCTAGAATCGTTCGGGCCAGCCCGAACCAACGCGAAACGCATTCACGGTCCTTGGTAATGATCCCGGCCTGTATCTGGGAAGGCATTACGATGATGAAGGGTTCTATAAACTCGGCCCTCCGCTCTTCGACCGGCAGTTGTTGCTCCTGTTGCCGGCTCGGACCACCGAAACGCTACCGAACTGTGCAGCAACACTGTAGAACACGAGCCTCGCCGCCATCATATGGAATGCTACGTGTCAAATGTGGAATAGAGAAATTCTAAACGCTAAAACTACCTGGCAGGTCGATATCACACATTTCAAGTTTCTAAGTTTTTAAGTTTCTATGCTTCTAAGCTCCCGAGTGTCAAGTTTCCAAGCTCCTGAGTCCCTAGATATCTAAATTTCTAATTTTTAAGCTTCTAAGCTTCTAAGCTTCTAAGTTTCAAGTTTCAAGTTTCCAAGTTTTCAAGTTTTCAAGTCCCTAAGTCTCAAAGATTCTAACTGTTTAAGCTTCTAAGCTTTCAAGCTCCCAAATGTCAAGTTTCCAAGTTTCCAAGTTTTCAAGTCCCTACGTCTCCAGATTCTAACTGTTTAAGCTTCTAAGATTCTAAACTCCTAAGTTTCAAAGCCTCTAAGTCCCTAAGTCCCTAAATCTCCAAGTTTCTAACTCTTTAAGTTTCTAAGCTTCTACGCTCTCAAGTGTCAAGTTTCCAAGTTTCCAAGTCTCTAAATCTCCAAGTTTCATTTCGACGAAACGTCGACATTCGTCCGCAAAGGATTAAACTCTCGATAGATGCACTCTTGGAATTTCAACAGAGAAATTTCACAAAGTCAAGTTAACTGCTCGTTAGTCTTAGGGTTAATCGATGCAATTACTATTATGAAATTATTCAATTTCATCTCGTTGATACACTCGTCCGAAAACTCGGGAAGAACGATTTTCCTAATGCGCATTACTTCGAGGGACTTCGCACGGGGTATTCGAGAGCCGAGCTAGCCATGACTCGGAAGTTTCTTGCTAAACACTATCGTGTTCCAGTGTATAATTATAATCCCGATACGCGTATAATCGTGACTCAACCCTTTGCAGCAGGATTGAAACGGAATTCAAAGCGTCCCGAAAGTACGATTTCATTTAACTCGATTGAACGGTTAGGTACTTGGAAATGGAATGGAGTGTGTAATAATTGAGTCGTTCAGAAGCCAGTGCGGTTACATCCATCTTCAACCTTCCAATTTTTGTAAATTTTAATCAATTAAATAATATTCTATTCAGTTATTCAAGAATTCACGTTTCTTCGTTGTTTCTTTTTATAGCTTGTTTCTTTTCTCCTCCATTTTAACATTAATTTTCTTAATGTTTCTTTTCTAGACTTAACTGCACTGGCTTCTAACCGACTCAATTGTTATAAGAATTGTGTAGATACCGATCACGTCGAATCTACTCGGTGATTCCAGCGATATCTCCAGGCAAGAGGAGACATCTTGTCGAATCGAATCCGCGACCGACGAAAGTCAGGTCGGGGGACAGTGAAAGCGGACGCGTGTCGGCCGGGTCGTGGAACAACGGACCAATTAAAAATTACGAGAAAACCACGAGTGGGCCGGCGAGACAATGGCGACCGGCGTATCCTCGGTGGCGCTATTCAGCCGAGCAGAGCCGAGCGGAGCCGGCGAGAGCGTAAGTATGGCTTGTCTCCGGGCGAGCTCCGCCATTAAAATCGGCCGTCGATCGATTTGTCGGACACTGTTAGCGCTAAACCCTAAATTCTAGCGTTTGCCTTCTAGTCCAGAGCTGATATAATGGGCAGCTCGGGCCTGAACGCAGAGGCGTGCTCCGCGGTTAGAGATTCGTTGCCTCCGGCCAGTTACGCGTTTCATGGCGTACGCATGGCTGCAACAGCCTCGAACTGTTCGCCGATTTTCGTGGAAACTCTATTATTTCGGTGAATATACTTAATCGCGATTACTGGAAGTGTTTAGGCTTCATCTTTGACGCTGGCGTTGTCGAGTAGCTTGAATGACTTGTGACTTCGTTGCCTTCTGACGTGATTTCTTGGAGAGAATTTAAGAATTTTGGGATTCTAGGTGTGTGAGCTTTAATTTTGTAAGTTTCTAAGTTTCTGACTTTTTAAGCTTCTAAGCTTCTAAGTGTCAAGTGTCAAGTGTCAAGTTTCCTAGTTTTCAAGTCCCCACGTCTCCAAAATTCTAACTGTTTAAGCTTCTAAGCTTCCAAGCTCCTAATTTTCAAGTTTCCAAGTTTCGAAGCCTCTAAGTCGCTAAGTCCCTAAATCTCCAAGTCTCTATCTTTTTAAGCTTCTAAGCTTCTAAGCTCCTCGGTGTCAAGTTTCCATGTTTCCAAGTTTTCAAGTCCCTAATTTCCAAGATTCTAACTGTTCAAGCTTCTAAGCTTCCAAGCTCCTAAGTTTCCAAGTTTCCAAATTTCCAAGCCTCTAAGCCCCTAAGTCCCTAAATCTCCAAGTCTCCAACTTCTTAAGTTTCTAAGCTTCTAAGCTCCCAAGTGTCAAGTCCCCAAGTCCCTAAGTCTCCAAGTTTCTCCATAACATCTACCACCCCCACAAACGAAAATATCAATACTTCAATCAACACTCAACACAGAAACCCCTACAGTCCCAATAATCGTAAAACAAGGCACCCAAGATCGATGATTCCAACGATGATACTATTCCTAGCATTAAAAACTCAACATATTCACAGCTAACTCAATACTTCGAACCAACTGTGTGCAGACACTTCTCACCCTCTTTCAATCGATTAAATAACTCGAAGAAAGATTTCTACAGCTATAAAATCGTTTGTTCAACAGCGACGAAGTAAAAGCGATCGATTTCTCGGTTTACCATCGGTCGAAAGTCGGCACGCGTGTCGTGCTCTCTCGAGCACGAGCGTGGATGCGGTGAGTCGTCGAAAAATGCGCGAGACACGCGATACGCGGCTTTCCGGACGGCGTCGCGATCCACGTGTGTTTACCTGCTCGTAATCGAGGCTGGCCGTGAGCGTGAACACGCCGGTGCTCGGGTTCAGGGAGAAAACGTCGTTGGCCCAGTCCGATATCAGCGTGTAGCTCAATTGGCTGTTGGGCCCGTCCGCGTCCGCGTCGGTCGCGACCACCTGACCGACCCTGCTACCCCTCGGCATGTTCTCCGGCACGTCGAACGAGTACGCCGTGCTCTGGAACGTCGGCGCGTTGTCGTTCGTGTCCGTCACCTGCAAACAGAGCATTCGTTTTCGTTAAATAGTCGGTCCATCGATCGGGATGCATTAACCCGTTGCACTCGAAACATTCGACACTCCCGAATTAGATATAGACAAGATTTTCTTCAGATCAATTTATCAAGAAATCACACGTAAATTGGAGAGCAAATTGTATCTATCGTCTTTCGATATTTCACGTATCGACGCAGCATACAAAGGTTAACCCTTTGCGGTTCGTAGCGCTCTTGATTTCTCACGAGGTTCACGTCGACGTTAGTTGATTCAATTACAGCATAACACGTTCCGAATTCTCCGTTCAGACCGAAACTGAATTCTCATTGAAAAACGAAGAACTTTTTAAGAATTTATTGTAGAGTCAAGGATAGGTATTTTAATATTATGTACACTGCGGTAATTTAATTTTAATTGATTGTGAAAATGTGGGTCGTATACGCTCCATACGGACTGAAGGGAAAGTCTTAAAAAAATGGTCCGCCACGGGACGTGTTGATATGACGCTCTATTTATTTATTCAAGAATATTTCGGAGTCACTGAAGTGTTACCTTTAAATGGTACAATTGCGATACTACAGATAAATATAGAAAAACTTGTTAAAACAAATTACTTTCTGTAGATTCTTTGAAATATACAAAAGGCAGATGAAGCTGGATTATGTATCAATTGTTTAAATAATAGAAGAGAACGGCTTGAAAGACGAAACGATCCTCATTTCTTTCGCTACGCTCGACGTTTAACCTTTCGAAGTTATTTTCAAAATGTGAAGGTCAACGTCATGAAGCAAAAAGCTTGCTTCATCCTCTCAAGTTTTCGAAACTGAAATTTCGTTTACAAATATCCAATTTTTCTCTTCTCGAGAATCTTCTCTTCCCTCCTGGTACTAGGAGGCTGAAATTTTGGATAGGAGCGATCGGAGAAACGATTTGAATCCAGATTGCCAAGTTTTAATGATACAGGCGCTAAAGATGAAACGTCCGCCGTGATGCAGCATGAAAACGAGAGTCTAACAGAGCAGGGATCAAGGAACAATTCCATTCTTCCATACAACATCTCCTTAGATCAACATCGCGGAGTTTTATCAAGCACAGACATTCGTTGAAACGCTTTTTCTTCGTGCGTTCGTTAATTAACGAAAAGAAGAAAAAGAAAGGGGGGAAAGAGAGAAAGAAAGAGAAGAGGAAGAAAGAAAGAAAAAGGAATGAAAGGAAAGAATGATCCCTTCGAGTTCTCGAAAGTGCCGACGCATGGTTGACTTTGAGAGTCGACGAGCATCGGCGATTCTCGACGGTATAATTCATCCTCCTCGAGGATCGCGAGGAAGAGGAGAATGGCAACGGGCAAAGATAAACAATTGGGGAACCGAGTCCGCCGCTTCCTGTTCCCTTTCGATTGTACTTGACGTCGCTCCCGAGTAAACACGTTTCAATCATCCTCTCGGACGCTAACCGGGCTCCAGTCATCGGAGTCGCGAATCTCACGAGCTGAACCGACGAAACCTCTCTCGAGCCTCTGTCTGCCGTTCCGCCGAGAGAGAAGAAACGGCGAAAACCTTGTATCTGTCTACGGAACGCGATAATTCTCTGCAACGATGTTGTTCCGTCAATCTAGAAGATTTACATGGCCTCGTCGGTTCCAAATTTGGTAACTGGAGTATGGAAAAATTGAATCTCAACTATATAGAACTTTATGCAGAATTTCAGAAGTCAATATTTCGTGGTGACGCTGGAATAAATGTTAGAAACCTCGTAATTACTAAATTTAGTAACTGGAATATGGAAAAATTGAATCTCAACTATACAGAACTGTATTTATGCAGAGTTTGAGAAGTGAATATTTAGTGGTAACGCTAGAATAAATGCTAGAATCTCGTAATTTCTAAATTTAGTAGTTAGAGTATCGAAAAATTCGAATTAAACGACGAAGAACTGAATCTGTACAAATTTTAAGGAGCCAATACTACAAAAGAACTTTCAAATTAGCGCTATAGAACAACTTCTGACCCAATCTAAGTGAAACTAGGTATCCAGGTACTTCCCGTAAGGTAAAACGCAAGTGAAAATAAAGAATCGTAACGCGAATCGCTCGATGTTAACGGTTATTGCGCTGTCAGGAAATCGTGGAAGTCGGGAGAGATGTAAAACGGAAAGCGGCTTCCTTCGTTCTGCTGTTACTTTGTGAACGAAATTGGGAAGTCTCTCGAATGAAATTCTCGTTGTAGTCGTATCGCGTCATCTTCCATCGAAACAGCGTAAAATCCTCAGTCTAATTACGATGATGCCTCCTCGGGAATTCCGCGAGGATCGGCTAGGAATTCCATCGAAACGCGGAGCGAGCATAGACCGCAACAATGTCGCGCATTCCTCGGTCCTCTCCTTTCCTCTACGGCCGCCCTTAGAGAATTCCAGCGCGCGGCCGGAGAGTATCCGTCGTCCGGTCGGATTTTTCGCGTGGATGGGTGGGTCCGCGGATCGTATCACGCTCGGGGGGAGCTCGTTCACGTAAGTGGCAGGCTTAGCGATGGACACCGAAGCGATTCGAATCGCTTCGAATCCGAACAAGTGACGGAAAAATCGAATCGCTTCGAATATGATTCGATTCTCAGATAGATCGTGAAAGGTTTTGCGAGTTTTTTCAGTGTAGAATTATTTGATAAAGGTAGAAGGTATTGAAAGTCTTGAAAGTTTTGAAGGTTTTGAAGGTTTTGATAGTTTTCTTTCGGTTTTGAAACTTCTAAGATATTTAAGACTTTCGAGGTTTTTAAAACCTTCAGTACTTTCGAGGTATTCGAGGATTTTAAGACTTCCGAGACTTTCGTGGCATTTAAGACTTAAAACTTCCAAGACTTCCAAGGCATTTAAGGCTTTCAAGACTTCCAAGACTTTCAAGGCATTCAAGGCATTTAAGACTTTCAAGGCATTCAAGGTATTTAAGACTTTCAAAACTTTCAAGACTTCCAAGGCATTGAAGGCTTTCAAGACTTTCAAGGCATTCAAGACTCTCAAGACTTTCAAAACTTCCAAGGCATTCAAGGCTTTCAAAACTTCCAAGACTTCCAAGACTTCCAAGACTTTCAAGTCTCCGAAAAATTTCAAAACCCTCAAGGCTTCCAAGACTTCCAAAGCTCCCACTCCTCTCAATTCTAAAGAATCATTCACAGTTCGACCCTCATCGACTCTTCCAAGACCATTACCAAATCGAACCGTATCCGAAGTGCTTCGAACATTCGCCGAATAGACTACCTCCAAATGAACCAACCAACACTTCGCATCTTCTCCGTGAAACCGATCCGCTTCCCATCGGTCCAAAATCGAAAACGCCTAGTACGCGCCTCGCTTCGAATAGAAGTTTCCCCGCGCGTTCCGGCGGACTCCCGGTCCGGCTCGACGCACGCGGTGCCGGTATAAAAGAATAAAGCGGAGGTGGGCACGGTTTGATTAAGGAGGGTTCCCGGGACGTTTGCAAAAAGTGACGGTTGGCCCCGGGTTCGCGCTGGATGACGAGAGGAGAGTAGGCGACCGCCGATCACCGGGACCCAGAAGACGAGCAGGGCCAAGAAGAAGACGAAGAAGAAGAAGAAGAAGAGTAAGACTCCGACGAGGTGGATGACGCAAGGGGTTCGCGGGGGGAGGTTCAAGGAGGAAGAAACCGACGGGAACGAGAGGGACGAGGGGGATCGAGGAGTCCAGGAGGACCTTCGCGAACAGGAGAGAGAAGAGGAAGAGGATCTAGAAGTCAGCTAAGCCGGAGCGACGGAGACAGAGGACGAACCAGGAGGAAGAAGGCTGAGAAAGAGGATCTAGCCGAGACGAACCGAACGAGACGGAAGATGAACGAGAAGGAAGGAGACAGACACGGAGAGAGGAGGAGGATCTAGTCAGCTAAGAACGGAGCAAGATGAAAGGACAAGGAGGAAGAGGACCGAGGAAGAGGGAGGACAAGGAGAGGAAAGATGGCGGGAGGAGGATAGAGGATCGGGTCGGAGTGGAGAGAAACTCTTCTAAGGTCGGGAGAAGAAGCTGGAGGGTAGGGAGGACGAGGAAGGAGGAAGGGGGATGAGCAAGGGGCCAGAAGGGGCAGATTCCGCAACTGTCGGCAGCGGGCCTCTTTCATGGTGCCCCAAAGAGCCGAGCTATGATCGGGGCTGGCATTCCTTTTGCCTTTAAGAGACCCGGATAGAATAGCTCGTGGACGGCGGCCCGGTGGAGCCAGGTTTAAAAGAATTCCAGCCATTACGCGTCATAAGGATAATTTTTGCGATTGTCACCGCGTGCATCTTGGCCTGCGGATTTCGATGGGTATGGAGCTGATATTGGAGAGGATGGTATGGATTCGGTGGAAATGTTTGGATACAGTAGAACAGTTGATTGTTAGTATAAAGTATGCTGCTAACAGTTGCTTGGTATTTGCGTAGCTGTGTCTTGTGGCAGTTGATCTCTGTTAACGCTTAGGCGAATTAAACTGTAATTATAGCTTCCATTATCTTCGATTGAATTCATTGAGTTGATCCGGTTGGAAACTGTGCTTTGGAGAAACCAGAAGCGTGTTTGATGAATTGCAAGTTGCAGTTAACTGACTGTTATGGAAAAGAGCGTTTTATATATCACTAATTTTGTTGTTATGAGAAATAGGAATGAATTATTAATTATTTGGTATTAGAATTCTCACGTTATCTTGTTATTTACGCTACTGGATATATTTGTTTGGCATCGGCTATCTTGCAAGTTATAATTATTTTCTTGTAACTTTGAAGCTCTGGTCATCGGTGACCACCGTAGTCAACGTGTTCACCCTTTGAACTCTGTAGGCTCCAATATTGCACCAGTTATAATATTGAATATTTCAATGAATCTTAAGGAAACTAAAATTATTCGGTTTTCCACACATCCAAATTTTGTACTAAGAAGGGAAATAAAAATACTATAAAAATTAGTTGCAGTTGCTGATGGATTACAAAACAACCTGGAGGGCTAAGGGTTAAACCAGAGATTAATCATTGTAAAATCATTTCAGAAGCCGAAACACTCATTTTCCCAACCTTTCTTCCCTACAATAAACCGTATTAGCTCCCAGTTGACTCAATCATCCCCTAAAAATCGAAACAACAGATTCTTCTCACTTTCTCCATATACTCAACACAGCAAAACATTAACTTCCGAGCGACTCGTTAACGAGCAAAGTTTGAAACGAAGTTGAGGATAATTTTTGGACATTAGTCATTCACTAGAATTCTATATTTACTTGAAAAACGATCCACTGACAATCGAGAAGCAGCATTTACTTTTGAATACAACGATGTTCGCGTTTGCCGACTCCTGTTCGCAACTGTCGCGAATGCGACTCGATATTAGAAGGGGTTTAATGGCGGCCGTCGCGCTGCCTGCTTCTGGCCAAGATGGCCGACGCGCCGCGCGGACAATACCGAAGCTTTCCATCGACGTCGATTCATCATAATTGTTAATTGATTCGGTGATAATCAATAGTGGCGGAATAACGGGACCGCGGCCCGTAATCGGCGAGATAACAGTAGCGTCCGGTATAATTGCGGAATAATCAGCCCGCAACGGGACTCGAAGGTTCGCCCCGCGCCGATACAGAAGAGTCGCGTCGGCTACGCGACACCGGGCTGAGAGCTTCGATGAAAGTCCCCCTTGATAGACGTTCGAATTTAACACACGCCGAGAGAATATATCGGTACGCTAAAACCATATTAATAATAGAACTACTGTATCAGTTGAAATTACCGATTTCTATTTGCTCGTTTCGCAATTATCGATGCCTTGGCAGCGTTGGATATTCGAAATGATTTCGAAAAGTTTAAATTGAACATTGCAATAAATGACCGGTTCCGATTTGTTCGTTTGGCAATTATCGATGCCTTGGAAGCATTGGATATTGCAATGAATATCTGAAGAAAATGAAAATAATCTATTACACACGCCGAGCGAATATATCGGTACGCTAAAAACGCGTTAATACTAGAATTACTATATCAGTTAAAATGACTGATTTCTATTTGCTCGTTTCCCAATTATCGATGCCTTGGAAGCATTGGATATTCGAAATGATTTCGAAAATAGTTTCGATTGAATATTGCAATGAATATCTGAAGAAAATGAAAATAATCTATTGTTTTCCATAGGGATTACGTATTCGTGTTCAATGCTCGGTAGTTCCAGTGTTAAACGGAAGACTTTGCGTCCACTCTGATCATTTCATCTCTTGTTCCCGACTGTTTCAACGCGTCTCTAAATATCTATAAAAGCTGTAGCATACATTAATCTTTCTAATAATTCGCGAGAACGCAAAGGAAGAGTTCACACAATCCCAGAATCGCCTCAACACTGGCACTACCAATGCAACACAAATTCCTACATAGCCCATCTAAAAATAGCAACAGCTTCTCAGCTTCCCCATACGCCGAACACAGTATCCAATCGAGACCGTTCACTCCCAAAACCACTCCGACCACTCGGACAGCAACGACAGCGCAAGAACCGCAGCAATCGTTCGTTCCGACCTACATGCGCCGAATAATATTGATCCCCATTCTCATTAAGCGAGGGGTTAATCATCAACTATGTCCGTCGAAGGAGCGCCAGGTGTGCTTGATAAATTCTCCAATTCTCATTCTAATTACCATCGTAATCCACCGGCTCGTTCGTCCGCGTTTCGCTCACGCTCCGTAGGAGAAAGAACGAACGAACGAACGGAGCTGTCGACTATCCCCGAGTTTCATTAGCCGGACGATAATAAAACAAAGGACAAAATCGCGGTTTCGCGTTCCACGGAGCGTATGATTGCCCGATGATTTATGGAGCGGAGCGCGCCACGCCACGCCACGCCACGCCACGCCGTGCCGCGCCGCGGCGCGTTGCGTAGCGTTGCGCTGTTTCATTGCTCGCGCGGCGATCGTTCCGCGATCATTTTTGCCGCGGGAAATCCTTAAACGATTCGGGTTAACGGCGTTCTCCGGCGTGTGTACACCTCGTACCTGGACGGTCAACGTGACGTCGGTGTGTTGCAATCCGTCATCGGCGCGCACTCGCAGCGCGTATCTCTCCCGTGTCTCCCTGTCGAGCGCCTCGGCGAGCGTCAGTTGACCCGTGGTCGGGTGGAGCCTGAACTGGCTCTCGGTTTCCTCGAAGATCATCTCGCTGGCCGGCCGATGATTCGGCACCAGGGTGTACGTCAGCGTGCCGATCGTGTCCGGATCGAACGCCTTCAGCACCGTGACCACGGTGTTCGGGGGCGCCTCCTCGGAGACTTTGAACTTCCAGGTGCCAATCCCCCAGGTCGGCGCCACGTCATTCTTGTCGAGGACCGTCACTCGAACCTGCAATTTCAACGTGTTTTCTCGATTGGTTACAACTTCATTTTTCAACGCATTCAGCGGTGGCGAATTAAGAGACGTTTAACGCGTTAAGCGCCACGAAAATCTTAAGCGTTTTCCCATAGGGTTTGTCTTTTGTAGCAAAGAAAAGTAGGAATAATTATGAATTGTTCGGCGTTGCAACGTTTGCGTTACACTATTATCAACGTAGTTGTCTTATTAAACATATTTATTTCACATCGGTTGTCTTGTATGTTATGATTGTTTTTTTAGTCATTCAGAAGAGTCAGTCACCAGTGACATGGCGCTTAACGTGTTAACCCTTTGCGGACGAAGATTCTTTGAAATATTGAAAACCTTCGGCAGATAAAGCTGAATTGTATATCGAATCCTTAATTAATATGGAAAAAGGAAACTACGCGACGATCTCTGGCTGTTCGAGTAACCAAATCATTTGTCTGCAACTCAGTCTTCCAAATATGAAAACTTCTGATCAATGAATAGCTAAAAAAAATATTCAAAACATACATTTTCGTAAAACAGTACATTTCAATTGCATATTCGTCAAATCCAGAAATGGAAATCCAGAAATCCGCATTATTACGGAGTCGGCGATCAATGTAACACGTTGGATGCAATGGAGGTCACCGGTGACCCCCGTCCAAATTCAGTCCCTGTGATTCTCTTAATTAAACGATGATTACATGAAAACATTCCTATATTCTAAATAACGCTAATGCGGTGACATTTAGCAAAGCAAACCTGCGATAATAATAACGCAATTCAATGAAATCATTTAATATCGTACTTTTTTTTCGCATATTCTGCGCCTTAAAATCGTGCGGCGCTCAACGTGTCAAACGACTGGTTCAGATTTTGTCTGTTTTTCATAGGTGGCTGTTCGAAGTTGATATCGACGGGTCGGTGGTTGCGAGGTGGATGCTAGAGGGAGGGATTTTTAGAGCGCGAGCATCGTTCATGAGGTGATACCGTAGTTTCTCGAGTGATATTGCGCTCCTTAACGCGATAGTTTATGTTGTTTGTAATGTGGTACTCGGTTACTATAGTAATACGATACTTATTAAAGTAATAGCGTAGCTTTCGAAGAGATACTACGGTGTCTGGAGTAATGTTACAGTTTCTAAAGCAACGTTGTAGTTCTGCAGTTGCCCAGATCTCGGTGCGATACTCGTGTTTTCAGAGATACTACGGTTCCTAAGGTGATGTTCGGTTGCTAAAGTAACGATAGAGTTTTAAACGGGGTAGTCTAGATCTCGATGCGATACTCTAGTTTTCGATACCGTTACCGCCGACGCGATAAACTAACTTCTATTATAGAATCCGAAGCGACATTGTTGTTACCCGTTGCGCTAATAAGAACGGCGCGATGGCGGCTCTCCGTTACGCTGTCTAAAGTCGCTCTATCGGTTCAAAGAATCAAATGAACTTTACTTGTCTTCCTTTTAATTACTTATTCTTCTTATTACCTCCTTAGAAATGGAAAAACGGGACGATCGCGCTCACAATTTTTTCACATAAAAATAGAAAAACGTCGTTCAGGCTCTGAACTGAAATAAAAGAAGCGCGATGGCGGTTCTCCGTTACACTGTCTAAAAGTGCCGCTCTATCGGTTCATACAATCAAATTAACTTTATTTATTCGTCTCCCTTTTAATAATTTATTTTAATTTTCCTTATTACCCCCTTAGAAATGGAAAAACAAACGATCACGCTCACAATCTTTTCACGTAAAAATAGAAAAGTGTCATTCAGTTTCTGAACTAAGATAAAAGAAGCGCGATTTAATTGTCTTCCTTTTAATTACTTATTCTTCTTATTATCTCTTTAGAAATGGAAAAACAAACGACCACGTTCACAATCTTTTCAGATAAAAACAGAAAAGCGTCATTCAGTTTCTAAACAGAAATAAAAGAAGCGCGACGGCGGTTCTCCGTTACACCGCCTAAAGCCGCTCTATCTTCTCATAGAATCAAACGAACTTTACTCGTCTTCCTTAATTATTCTTCTTATTACCCCCTTAGAAATGGAAAAACGGAACGACCACGCTATTTACAATCTCTTCACGTAAAAACAGAAAAGCATCGTTCAGTATCCGAAACGAAACAGGCGCGATCGTTCGGCACGTTCCGAGCAGATTTCCCAAAGACCTTGTACCGCTCGAAGGACGAAATCGAGGCCAGATATCGTTGCCACGAGCCCCGGTCGTCGTTATGCGGCTCGGGGTTAAAAGAC